CTCATGAAGGGATAAAAATATCTCATGAGCTGTGGCCTGTTCAATTGCTGATATAGAGAGAAAAATAAGGAAATAAGGTATACATTATAGAAGTTAGAAGTTTAGGATGTTGGCATTTCTGGAGAACAGTGCTACTCTGTATTTGCACTTTTGCACCCTGATATGTTCCTCAAGGCGGGGACTTCATACCAGCAGACTACTTTCCATTACTGTGAAATAAGTTTTGGGTACTTACTAAACAGAAAAACTTATCTGTGCTTGTTCATACCAATTTATGTAAATCAGTCTGTTACTAAGAACAGAAACATTTAACTCAAGCAAATTGTAAGCATACAAAACAGCAAACATAATTTGAAAAGACCTGTCTGCTGCTTTGCACAAGTTCACATTCCAGTCAACTTCAGTATTTAGCTCATAATCAGACAAGCTCAAGCAAAGCAGACACAAGTCATAAGTTCTTGCTGTATACCTTCCACTAAAATGAAAGCAAATTTCAAAAAGAAAATATTTGCATACTGATGATTATATGTGTTTTTAAATCATCACATTGTTATTTTTAAGCAAAAGATAGTCATCAGAAGTATTACATTATATCATGACGCTATGCATAAACACTACACCAGTGTTTATGTGCAGTGTGCTGAACGCAGGCTTCTCTTGGCTATCAGACTGCCAGCAACACAACCAAACAGGGAACCACTTTCAGGTGATTAAATTCAATGGGTGGGTGAAGCTGCCCCAGGCAGAATATACTACTGATGTGTTATGTTTATGTACAACACAGAGATGAAGACAGTATACAGAGAAAAAACAGGTATATACGGGAATATACAGGCCTACCACTTAAATTGAAATCACTGCTATTTTTTGCAGTCGTTATGAGAATTCAAAGGCCACGTATGTTCCCATAACTCCCAGATCTACAGTACTGATATTATACATAATGAATATCGTGCCACTCAGGAAGCAACAATTAAGCAATTAATAGACAGCAATATTGACAGTGTTTACAGCAAAAATAGCTGAGAGAAGACCCTCACAGTTAGTTTTGTATCTTGGTCTCTTTATTCACTCTTTAATGTCTTTGACTTTCTGCATGAAGTGATTTCATTAGCAAGGTATCTATCTGCATGATGAATCTCAAGTTTTTCAATAAAGTAGCCCCAAAGCTCTACTTTTACAGTTTTATGCTTTTCAGAACTCTTCTAAGGTCTATGAATAACTTGAGAAAACTGTTTTTCCATTTTAACTGCCTTCTGTGCTGTCAAAAGATTGCTGGACAATGAGTCAGACCAATCGCATTCTTCTAATTTTGAGTCCTGCCTTACATTAATATGGATGTGATTACAGACTCACAGCTTGGAATGCTGGCAAAAGATAATACTTGACAATATTTTCACAAATAAAAAGGGACATAGATCAATACAAGCATGTCCAGAGTTAAAGAAGGATATAAATAGTGTTATATTCAATGATGTAAGAAGTAACTATTCCATGAGAAGCTAAAATAATGAAAAGATTTGTGTTGTACCTCTGAGTTAAGTCAGTCTTATTTGTTATCTATTTATTTTTCAGAGTAAGTGGTTGGGATTGAAGTAGTCTGAAGGATTGGATCTTTGTTTGTTTGTTTGTTTTCCTTTGTTATTAACTTGATTAGTTATTGAATTCTGCCGAAGTAAAATGAGGTAGGTTCATGTAGATGAGCAAACGCGCTTGCACAGTTTTGCTAAAGTACAAGTTTTGTGATGGCAAACTTTCTAGATATATCTTTCTGCATCTATATTATGCAAGGAGAGAAAAGGAAGGTGATCTAGTCATGATTTCTGTGGTATGAGTATTGTTACCTCACTAAAGTAGCTGTTAGGAGGAAAAGGTACCTACTGATCATTTAAGTCCTATGGGTTGGTTTTCTTTTTTCTTCTTCTTTTTTTTTTTTTTTTTTTTTTTTTTTTTTTTTTTTCTTTCTTTTTTAGTATTTTTGGATTTGTCTTTATCTGGGGAGAGGTGGAGGGTAGTTTTTGTTGTTGTTGTTGTTGTTTAATCTTAGGCTGCTTGGCCTTTACCATAGTCTCCTATGGATTTGAGTATCTTGACTAATTTTTTGAAATATAAATATTTGAACCCTTACCAATAGTGAATTTTTCCTTCACTGTTTACGTAAGTAAGCTTTCATAGTCAATGTGCTTGAGGAGAGACATGTAAGAAATATTAACAATTCCTATTGCAAAGCCAGCTGCAAATGTTAAAGATGAAAGTTACTTTTCTATTTAAAGCTCCTTATTCAACCTTTTTCTTTTTCTTTTTCTTTTTCTTTTTCTTTTTCTTTTTTTCTTTTTTCTTTTTCTTTTTCTTTTTCTTTTTCTTTTTCTTTTTCTTTTTCTTTTCTTTTTCTTTTTCTTTTATTTTGTTTTCTTTTTCTTTTTCTTTTTTCTTTCTTTTTTTCTTCTTCTTTATCTTTTTTTTTTTTTTTTTTTTTTTTTTTTTTTTTTTTTTTTTTTCCCCATGTAACTTACTACAGACACACCATTTAAGGTACAACACAAGTACTCAGTGAAAGAAAAAGCTAATCCCTGTATAAAGACATAGAGGAAGGGTGAAATAAAGCTGAAAGTTTTCCAGTGCAGCAAGAAGAAATCATAGGCAAGTATATATATTAACAAATCTCTGTTGTTTTGTACATTCACATCTATAGATTGCTACATTTCTTTAAATGAATAGTCAGTTTTCCCACTGATACTTATACATACTCTTCCATCTCAAAGCTTGGGATCTTAACAACTCACATTCATGAATGCAGTGTCCCTTGTGTCATTAGCCTTTATGGTACATGACTGCCATGCTGCTGTCTTAACAAGTAGGTTTCAATCTATGCAGTGAACATTCATTTCTAGAAGTGACACTCAGCTAGGAATGCATAGTATACACATCACTGAAACTGCATATTTAAGCTTTTCTGAACTTATTGTAATACTGAATTATTACAAATGTAATGAATGAATTATCTCATGGTCTAGAATTTAACTTCGTATGCTCATATACACTTGCTTGATTCAAGTATGACATATTATTCTAAAAGCTTTTCTGAATGAGAACTATACGTACATAAATTTAGGTTAGAAAAAACATGTATAATCAGTTCTACCCTAAAAGCAAAGTGGTTTCTCTTGATTTACCTAATGTCCTATGTTTAATTTAAACCAAAATAAGTTATTTCTATATGAGGCTGAGCACTCATCCAAAACTAATTGAATAACTAATGTAATTATGAACTCTTCCCTTTACATTAAGTCTCTAAGAACACTGACAGTATATCATTACTTGTTCTCAATTTCTGCTTGGTCCAAATAAAAGCATTGCTTGTGTTAAGCCAGCAGACTCATGCTATTACATTGTCTGAATACAATTGTTTATCAGAGTGCTGAGTTAACTTCAAATGTATTTCATTTCAACAGCCAAAACTTTATGCTAATAATACGCAGCAAGAAGCCTGTATCTGCTGTACAACAATCTGACAGAATCCATTTTGTATGCTACTTCCAAGAAAGAAAATGCCAAGTAGAGTATGGTGGTTTTTTTATCTTTGCTACAGTATCTGACTACCAGACAAAATCCGTGCTCTCTCTACAGCCTGCAGCAGGGGGAAAATCCAGAACCTGTTACTTCAGCATGTTTCAGGTTTATCTTCTGTATGTAGCACATATACATGCATTTAACACAATTGTACTTTGCAGTTGGTCTTTTGTAACTATATAGAAACAGTTATTAACTACAAAGACTTATTTACACTAGCACTGGTCTTCTGTAGAAGAGGAAATAACCTAAGTTTAGGTCCACTCCTAATTAGTGTCCGAACACGAACTGATTCTAATGACTGACAGTAATACATAGGAATTTGTATTGTCTAATATAAAAATACCTGTGGTAAGAATTTGGGCATTTCAGTACTCTTGGATTCTAACAAACCAAGGAACATCTACAAGTACTTTTAAAATCTATGAAACTCCCTAAACATTGATTTTATTATTATTATTATTTTTTATCTGGATGTATTCTCAGGTTCAAACAACTGTAAGCCCTGGAGTCACTGCAAAATCAGAAAAAGCTCTACTTCCTGGGTAAATATGAATGTGATCATCTTAACGTTCTGTGTTCCTCCCTCCTGTGTTTGTAGTTGAATTAAGGCACAGAACACTGTTGTTACATCTGGAACTGAAACTCGATTCAGAAGTCAGGCCCCACACGAGTAGACATGACAGGTCCCTGTGCTAGATGACCCCCTTCCAACTTCGGACATTCCATAATTCTGCGATATAAAGCCACAACTCCCTCGATCTGGTGTGGCACGCTTTAATTTTGGAAGAAGTAACGACTATTCACACTGCTCTGAACTCCTTCTGGAGCAGGGATGATCCTGAGCAGCAGCAGTGGCAGCGCAGGGCACACTCCCGAGATCACCGGCAGCAGGCTGATACTTCTGCTACCAGGTATCCTGCGCCCAGAGGTGCAGGGCACAGCCCCCGCTAACCCCAGCCTTGCATGCAGGGCCTTTCCCCACTGAGAGGCAGCAGAAAGCGTTAAGGAGGGGGCAGTTCCCGGACGAGAGGGCGCAGCGGTGCCAGCCGTACCCACCACCTGAGCCGCCATGCGGTGCAAGGGCAGTGCGCCACGCATGCGCTAGAGGGCTGCGCTGAGGGGCGGGGCGAGCGGCCAGCCCCGCTCCCTCCCGCCGGTGGGCCGTACCACTGTGCCGGGGGTGTGTGTGGAGCGTGTTTCGTCTGGCAGTCCGCTCGCTAGACCTCTCCTGTGTCTCCTATCCGGATTGAGTGTGAGACGGAGCGATACAGCACGGGACTAAGCGAACAAGAGACCATGTTTAGCCGCAGGCGCGTTGTCCGCTACCTCCTCCCGCCACCTCCCCCGCTTATGGCGGGTTGGGCGCGGCCCGCTCCCCCAGCTCTCCCCGAGGCCCGGCTTCGCGAGTTCCCGCTCTCTCGCGCCCGCCCCCTCCCTCCTCCTGCCCCCTCCCTCCTCCCTCGGTGCCGGCTCGGTCTCGCCTCGGCCTCCCGTTCCCTCCTCCCCCTGCCCCGACTCGTCCCCGGCGCGACGGCCCTATGGCGTACAGTCAGGGTGGCGGCAAGAAGAAAGTCTGCTACTACTACGACGGTGAGCGGGGTTCGGGGCGCGCGTGAGGGGAGAGCGCCGTTACCGCCGCACGGCGCGGCCTCTTCGCCATTGCGGCCGCCCCCTGCCCCGCGTAGGCGTGGGGTCCCGGTCGCCATCCACCTGCGGCCCTGCTGGGCCCCGCTACGGGGCCGGCGGGACAGAAGAAGGAGAGCAGCGGAGGGGGACGGGGCGGGAGCTGCGGGGCCCGAGAGAGCCCCGCGCTGAGCGCTGGGTTTATTGTTACCCTCCCCCGCCCCCCTCTCCGAGAGAAAAATGAAAAAGGAGAAAAGTTGGGACACTCCCCTTCATCCGCTAAACGTGAAGGCGCTGCCGAGTCTGACTCCTCCCCTACAAAAAAAAAAAAAAAAAAAAAAAAAAAAAGTTAAAAAAAAAAAGCCCAGACAGTGAGTGTGGGTTCGGCACTTGGATGTTCGTGCGGCCCGGGCCTCGTCTGGGTTACAGCGGGGAAGCGCGGGTCTCCCAGGCCAGCCAGCAGCGGCGGGGCGCGGCGTGCTGGGGTGCCCAGCGCCGAGTGCTGAAAGACGAGTTGCTCGCTGGCCTGCCGACTTTGCACGCTCGTGTGCGTGATGGAGCCGCCTGGCAGCTTCGGAAAGTACGCGTGCCTTGCGTTTAGGTTCCGATATCTGCAGCAGCTTGTTCGTGGTTTGCTCTTGCTGCTGCAGAGAGAACTTTTCCTTATGTTCTGTTGAGTTTGCATTTGTTTTATTTTGCTTTGACTTTTTTTTTTTTTTTTTTTCCTTTTTGTACAAACTCGGTGGTCAGAGTACTTAAAAGATTCCATTTCTAGAATTGTCTCCCCTTTTAACCGTTTCTTGAAATCGGTGTATCAGGCTCTTGTGAGACCGAGGCTGTTTTACTCCAACGCTTTGGAGGTCTCACCATTTTGGGAACGAAGAGCAATCACAAAGCCCACGAAGATATCCAAAGTGGCTGTTGCTGTAGCAAAGCTGCCATTCTTGGGAAATGGCAGAAATGGGGCCTGCCTTGGGCTTGCACTACACCGATGGAAGCAGAGTGTGGTTGCCGCCCCCTTCTCTTTGTTGCTGGCTCTGGTTCTTTGTTCAGCCTAAAGGGGAAGGGAGGCCCCTGTTAGGGATAGTTTTGGTGAGACTGGGATCTTACTTTTTCTGGGCAAGAGGAATCAATTTCTGCCGTGTTGAGGGGAATGCAGAAGCAATAGGTTAGAAGCATTCTGCTTGCAAATGTTTGCATCTTTAGTTTTGGATTTTTTTTCATTGTGTGGTGTTTTTTTGTTTTTTAAGAGCCAGGTGGTTGTCATTTGCTAGGCATAAATATCTTCAATTTTGTTATGATTCCTGGACTTGGTACTAGTTACTGTCAGCTCTATAAACAACCCGAAATCTGTACTGAGGGAAGAGGTGGGAGAAAGTGGGGAAGGGAGAAGTTTTGTGAAAGCAGGATGATGATGACTTGCAAACAGCTGGAGCTAATATCTTGCCTACGACTATATGCAACTAACAGAGTATCTGTTATGACCTGCTTTCCCTGTAAAAGAAATAAGATGTTGGAATGTTTTGGCTATCCTTTTTAATTTTTATTGTCGAACAGTTATTTTACACTTCTTTTGAAAGCGGAGTTGTTAGAAGAGCTTTTAGAATTAATACCTGTGGTAAACGCTTCCAGTGCTAATTTGTGGTTCATCTGATAATTTTTACTATTTTGTAACATCTTATACCAGCAAAATCTTGAATTAAACTGGGGGGAGTACTTGAAGCCTTAAGTAACCCCAAACCAAAAAGTGCAAAGAGTGTTTCTAAGGGTATCGTAACTGAAAAAAAAAAGACATTTTTTTTTGCCATATTTATCCTTCCACAAAGGCTTTCACTCTGTGTCCTTGAGAGTATGTGCCAAAAAGTGTTGAAAAGCATTAGAAGTGTATGTGCGTGTTCTTTGAGGTGCAGTAGACTCCTACATATTCTTTATGGTAATCAGTATGGTTATCATCTCAAGTCTCTTTTTCATATTAGCCTGTCACTTACCAAGTCTTGATTAGTGTGTTGCTATTAACATGTATCAATAATTATCAGTACCCACAACCAATAAACTTGTGGTAGACAGGAGCTTGACTTCATTTTTCTACAGTTTATTGTTAGAAAGCGTTAGCTACGTCCACTTTGCGGTTTGTGGCCTGGGTGTCTCAGCGACCTATTTCAAAACAGGTATGCATTGAACACAGCAACGAGGACAGGACCCAGATGGTCTCTCCAGCTCTGTATTCTGTACAGCAGAACACAGTTGTAAGGAATCATGCAGCAGCTAACATGGTTATAGCTGGTGATTGTATTTGTTCTATGCCAGTGCAATAACAAGATTGTTTAGATTGCATTTTTTGCACAATTTAATGTGTATTTCCAAAAGGCTTTACCTTCATGAGAAGTTCCAGGGATCTGCATAAGAATGTGGGTGGTTCCACCCGTAGAGATGAGACTAAACTTGTATTAATAGTGCATCATATTAGTATACTCAGATGCTGTTTAAGTATGTTAGTACTTCCAGATGAACTTGTGTATCTACAGACTTTAACTGAAGAGTGTTTCACAGAAGCAATGCTTTGAACTGTGGCTTCTAGAACTGCAGTGGTGCCCAACCTATGCTGAAGGTTCAAAGGCACAACCTTCCCTGCTTAATTTTAAAAACCTGCTTGTTTTTAAGGACTAGAGGATAAAAAAACAAACAAACCCTGAAGTCTACAGATGTAGGAGTTTAAAGTCTATTTAAATGTCTTTGTTGGACTTATCAAGCACCAGTGATTGTTTTCTAGATTTGTCTTTGCATGATTTTGTCTATTCATCTTGCAGAAGCCAATCCAAATGTAAGTACCACTAGTAAGATTATTTTTTTTTCATGTGGTTTCTATTGTAGTGGTTGTGTTTGTGTACTTACAGTGCTTAACAAAATATCTTGTGATTTCATGCTAGCTATGCTTAAAATGAGCAGAGGTATGATCTGTGTGCATAAAAAGTTTTATATGTCATTAGAGGATAAAACAGTGTCCAAATGTTATATATTGCATCCTCCTTCTTTCTGCTTAGACCTTTTGTAATTAGTTGATTTACTTGTCTAGTTTCTCTAAAACTCTTGGAGAAGATGGTCTTAGCATACTTCTCTGGTCTTAGCTGCTTTTCACAGCCTGCTGCGAATCTCTCAAATGTAACTGAAGTTCCTTTCAAGCATGTAGCCTCTTGTATCTGTCTGTGATAAAATATTGAACATCTGCAGGCCTTTCTGAAGCCTCTGATAGAGAGGTGTGTCACATTCAACAAAGGAATCACGTGGATTTGTCTTCATTTGATGAATTGACAGGCTGTTAGTGTATTAGCATATTTGAACCCAGGGCATGGCAGGATGTGTAACAAGTTAATTTTCAGGTAGGTTTTCTGGTCATTTGTTGGTATTGCGGTGTCTATCGTGATAAACTGTTCAGGCCCATAAGCTGGTGCTTACATTATACTGGCGTTTGGTTTGTCTTTCTTCCAAAAATGTTGAGTTCTTAACTGACATTAGGTTGTTGCCTCTCGTTACCAGCCATTTAGCTGATAATGTTATTAGTATAGAATGGTCTTTGAAGCTTTTCTGTGAACAAAATAATAGATTTCCCTACTTTCTGCATATGCTGCTTCACATTTTTTTCCCTTTACTTCATGCTTCAGTTATGTTTTCTTTTGCACTTTCCATGTGCACCCTCACTGGTGAGTGATTAGAGATTATGCTTATAACACTTAGAACACTTCTGTATGCCTTTTGCTCTGGTATTGACAACTTTGGCACCAAACATTCTTGTGTAGTCTTCAGTAGTCGTCTTTGTACTCGGCTCTACTGTATCCACTTCTCATGTATGCATATATATATGCTCTCACCTTTGCTTTTCTCTCTCTGAGTACTCCAGTAAGGCTGTAGTGTTCCAAAAACAAAAAACAAACCAAGGAAAAGAGAGAAAGGTTCAGGATGCGTGGAGGAAGTGCTCCTTCATGGGGTGAAGGAAAAGAAGACATTTCTCAGCAGCCTTACATTGGACGATGTTTCCAAAATGGTGACAACAGGCTAAAAATCAAGATGTCAGTGCCAAAAATGGAACCTCTTGCATACTTCTCCTTCCCTATCCCTGCCAACATATACATCATAGAAATGCCTTGAAACTTAATGGGCTTTTTGTCCACGTGTTTCAATATTTTTTCATGAGGGTAATGCCAAAACCATTTTTGTGTTGATGATGCAAGACTTGAAAGATGCCAATAGTATTGCTTGTCACTGAAGTGTATGATATTGAGATCTATTGTTAGTCATTACAGCTGACCTTTAATACAAAAGCATCGATATGCTTCCACTAGCTGTTCACTAGCAGATCTTCTCTTGCTTAAGCTTTCATAAAATTTGCCAGCTTGCTGAATCTTTTAAAGTTCTAGCTTGTATTGAAAACATTAAATATAGCTTTTAACTTTTTAAATATATTTATTGATCGATTTTTACTAATTTTTAAGCATGCTGTTGTGATGGGTGGTATTCAGGTGATATTTGATTTTGAATGTTTAAATGATGCTTTTATCAAAAGATACACCCCAAATATACTCAGGGAGCATGTTAATGCTGTCCTTTCTTTTATGTAGGATAAAATAACAAGTCTTACCTTTTCCATTATATAAATAATTTCTAGTCTGCTTCCTTATACATAAACATTTTGAGTAAAACGTTGGTGATAATGACTGTGTGTTGTGTAATTAAAATTGAAATATACCTTAAAAAAAAAAAAAAAGTAAAAACTCATTGCATCACAAACGCATTTGGGGGTGAAATTTTCTCAAAAGCACCATGTTATTTAAAGGTATTATTATGGAATTATTGTCTTCAGAACTTCGAAAGTCTTAAGCTCTTGTTAGCTTGAAGTTTTTTGAACCTATAAGAGTAACTTGGTAGAAACAAGGTGGGGTTAGTAAAAGGTGGTCCTTCTTGTAGTAGTTAGATTCAAAGAGTTCTTGAAGCTCTTTGCTAAAAGCAAATGTAGAACATACTGTTTTGTATGATGTTAGGAGATGTTTTGGTGGGAGGTATAGGGATGCTGTCCTCTTTTTTTAATACCTTTTGTTCTTGGCCTGCCTGTGAAAACAGTATAGGGTTGCAGTATCAGCTGGAGTCTATATCTTACTAACTGATGTGCTAGTTACCATTTACTTACCAAAGTTAGGAATGAGTAAAATCTTTTGAAGTTCTTAAACAATAGTGTTTTTCCCATTGATATGAGTTGATGAGGAGAAAGATGCTGAACAGTTCTTTCCGTTATGGCTGCTCCAGAAATAATAGCTTGTATTTTGTTATGTTAATTGTATATTCATATCACATTCATATCATATATATTATCACAATAACAGAGATGGATGTTGGTAGAAGAGGTTAAACATTTCTGCCAGTATTCAGTGAGGTGGTGTTGCCACCAGGCAGATGGCAGCAGAGGGGCAGTCTGACAGAATGGTGTCTGCCATGGCAGTACAGTGTGACATGGAAGCAGAGGTGTGTCACTGAATTCGTTCATGAGGAAAAAATGGCACCCATTGACATTCATTGATGTTTGCTGAGCATTTATGGGCATCAAACAGTAGCTGTGAGCACAGCAAGATGGGCAGGTGACGTGTTTCAACAGTGGCACCATTGACATGAAAGAAAGACAAGCTGCATTCAGTCATGCACAGCTGTCACACCATGAAATGAAGAGCATCTGAATCAGCTCATCTGTACAATTTGGCTAATGGTGGTGACTGTTTTTGAAAAAGTGTTTTGTAGCTGAGAACTTGCTCTATCAAGTAGTGTTATTGTGCTCTTTGTATCTGTTATATTTTAGGTGCAAATAGGAGGTGTTAGTTTAGGAGCAACCTACATAGATACCTTTCTGTTACAATACATTAGGCCATATCTGTTTTGTGAAGTGTCCTTATTTACCCTATTACTTCAAAAGCTAGAAGTTGGATTTTTAGAATCCTTTAATATTTCTAATCTTACTATAGTGCTTGCTCTTCTTGGTACTTGGTGATGCTATTGGAGGCTGATGTTTTCCCTTCCTGGTGACCTAGAGCTCATGTTAAAGAAATAAAACTACAGCTGCTTTGTAGCAGTGCTACTTCTTACCCTTCTCTATTAAAATATGTAAAATTATGTTTTGAAAACAATGTTATTTCTTTTCCAGTAGGCTAGAAACATTTATTGAAAAATTATTGAAAAACATGAAAGAAAAGTGAAAGCTTTCAAGAAGAAGGTAAAATCAGTAATATTACCAAGGAATTTCCTCAGAAGAAGAGCTATTGCAAATGACTAACAATGTGAAAGCCCTTTACAACTGAATATACCTATTAGGCTTGTCTGTGTCTTCCAAAACACGTGGAACATAAGTTCTGTTCAGAATGGTTTGTTTCTTGGGAATGTCTACATTTGGGGCAGAGAGAGGTGTGTTCTCGTGCTGTCCAGGCAAGAGGAAAACTTACTGGCTGGTGACAGTAGCCATTCTTTCTTCCTGGAAAGAAGTGATCTGTAGTAACCATGTATCAAGTCACTATCCAATTTGACAAGAGAAGGGTTCACCTGGGTTACAAGACTGTTAATCTACTGTGGATTGGATCCCTAGCAGCAGGTGGCTTGGAAATGTTTTGTATGTGATTACAGAAGCAGGTTTGAAGCTAACTTCTGGAGTGTAACTTTTAGGATTAGCTATGAAGGGTAGGGCAAGGAAGTATCTACTTAAAATCAGCTCTTACAAAATGGTAGGTTTACTACAGCCTCTGTTGTGGTATAATGTCACTGACAGTGGTGGTTTCTGCTCCCTTCGTAATTCCAATTTTGTTTCCTGTTATTCTGTTTTCCAGTTCCATCCCATTGTTTTGTTAATTCATGACTTGAAATCACTCTAGGCATTTTTGCTCCCCCACTGCTGTTGGCTTGTAGTAAAGGTCTTAGTTCTGGTCTTTTTTTGCCATCTGCTTAAGCTTTTATGGGCTGTTTGTTTTCCTTGTGGTCCATTTGAAAGAGTAGTTTGTTCATATCTCTTTTTGGAATCATCATATTTACTTGTCTTTTGGGAGCGATTCTCCTAAGTAGCAACGAAAACTTGTTTTGTAATGTGAATTTGTTTCTGTAATATTGACAGGTGATATTGGAAACTATTACTATGGACAAGGGCATCCAATGAAACCTCATAGGATCCGAATGACACACAACTTGCTCCTAAATTATGGCTTGTACAGAAAAATGGAAATTTACGTGAGTATAAGCAATGGAATGTTGACTGAAGTGTGAGTATAAGCAATAGATTGTCCACTGAAGTATTGTAAGTTGGCTTCAAGTATTTTTACACAGATGAACGGAGAAGTGGGAGTAGAAATAGAAAATACTTAGTGTATTCAGTGCTCTCTTACTTAAAATTGAAGTACTGTTTTATAACTAGTAAGGATTGCAGATTGTTGTCCCTTTCTGGAAGGGGTAAGAAGCAACACCAGTAGAGGCTTTGATGGTATTTTTAAGATTATGTGGGGGTGAGATTAGTGCAACTGCATGATGAATTTAGTGGGATTAAACTAGCAGAGTAATTCTTCATGCAAACTTCATGCAAAGCAGCACTAGTAGTAGTGTCACTATTCTCCCTTTGGAGTAGGTTAGATTTCTTTTAAGCTGTGTGCTTTAGTTAATTGTTAACTGGTTTTGCAGCAGTGTTCTAATTATTTCCATAACTTACTCTTGTTATCAGCGACCCCACAAAGCTACTGCTGAGGAAATGACCAAGTACCATAGTGATGAATACATCAAATTTCTCAGATCAATAAGGCCTGACAATATGTCTGAGTACAGCAAGCAGATGCAAAGATGTAAGTTCCATATTAGCTAAATTCTGCGTTTGTATGTGTGCTTGATTGGTTGTGTTATTTAAACCTAAATATTCAGCAGTGTGATGTTATGAATAGTGATGTTATGAATACTACCTACGTTAATTTTGAGTCTTTCTAATTAAAAGCAGCTGTGTTCAAAGAAATGTTCTTGAAGCTTATGAGAGGACTTGCATGCAGAATGTGTACTGGATGCAAAATAATATTTTCTGTAGACCAAATGCACCGGGCTAAAATTCAGTTGTGAGTGTTTGCAAAACTGTCTTAGAAATACCTTCTAATGCAAAATCTTTCTGAAGAATAAAAGATTGCCTTAAAGAAGAATAGAAGTAAACTACTAAATATGTTGAGGGTAAGAAATGGAGCTGACTCTCCTGTTGGAGGGAGAAGGGAAAAATTGCACGTTATTCGCTTTTCACATTTTCTATTAAGTAGTTTTTCAGATTTTAGGAGTAACTTCAAGTTACTGTTAAAAATACAGTTTCACACAGCTCTACCAATATATAATATGTGTTTGTAGCTCTTTACAGTGCCTTATTCTCGATGTTTTTTTTCCAAGAAGTTGCCTGTTTATTAAAACGATGTTAATCAACGCTTGTTTTAAAACAGACAAGTCTAACTTATTAATGAGACAAAGCTTTCTATAGAAACAAACAAAAAAACAGGGAAAAACCAGTTTGGAGTCATTTTAAATGGTAAAAACAATACCAACAGTTGATTTTGATTAGGAGTTGGGGCAAACTTTATGTTTGTTTCAGAGTTCAAAATTAAGCCTGACAGAAAAGGGGAGGAGCGAAAAAGTAGTTGAAATGCTAAATGAATTCTGCGTTTTTATGTGCTACCCTTGCCTATACTAATGCTATTGGAATTGTGTTTTTGAAAAGTAATGTGTTTCTTGCACAGTTAATGTTGGAGAAGATTGTCCTGTATTTGATGGCCTGTTTGAGTTTTGTCAGCTATCAACTGGAGGTTCTGTTGGTAAGTATAGTTGTTTGCCAGGTATTTTGTAGCTTTATTATGTTTACGTTGGCAACATAAACCTTTGATAAAATAGAACCTAAAGCAAATACAAGTTCTTTTTGCATAGGAACACTGAGATTAACAGTTACTTGATCTGCCTCATATTTGACAATTTGTGTGTCAGTATTAGTAACAGATGAGATCTAGGATCAAGTGTGAGATTTAATGACTTAAAAATGAGATACTGTTTCCTATAACAAATGTAAAGACCTTCAGAAGTTTCTGACTGCGTTTCCTTTCAGTTTTGTGCCTGTCTTTTTACAGCTGGGGCGGTAAAACTGAACAGACAGCAGACAGACATGGCTGTTAATTGGGCTGGAGGACTTCACCATGCTAAGAAGTCAGAGGCATCTGGTTTTTGTTACGTCAATGATATTGTGCTTGCCATCCTTGAATTACTGAAGTAAGTTTTATGATGGAAAAAGATTAAAATTGTTTAAGGTGTCAAACTTTTTAATTTTTTAATGTTTGAAGATATGGGTAGTAATTGTAATTTTTTGTCAGTTTTCATTGCTGAACTTGTACAATTTCTTGATGACGAGAGCTCCCAACTCTGTCCAGTTTGGCTTCAGCAAGAAGCCTGAGCTAAAATACAGACGACGTGGAAAAAATAGTTATTAGGAGATAGGTTTGAAACACATTCTTGAAGTACTTTTTCTGCACAAAGATAGTGAACTTCTAGATCTCACTAATACATGAGCTTGAATGAAGCAGAGGATGACAATAGATTAAAAGAAAAAAGAAAACAAATTAGACATTAACTTGGGCAAGAGATGCACCCCTTAAGATATCATCTGCTGTAATTGTAGATGGCGGGTAACAGATCTCAAAAAAGTTCTCCTGTTGCTACTCATGGAGACAGAATGGCGGTCAAGATGATCCCTGGCCTGACCCTATTGGGCACTTAAGCCTTAGGTGTTTTGTTCTCAGTCACAGGCCTTTTTGATCTCTCAGTTTGCCCTTCTATATTCCGTCTTTCAAGCCGTTGCTAGCAAACAGGAATTTTAAGGAAAATCGTACACTGAGATTTCTTGGGTTGTTACATGAGTTAACCTGGCTGTTAAGAAAACAATGAAGTAACAGCTGTGCTGCTTTGGTTCTAGAATAAAAAATGAAGAGGGGAGTAATGCAGAAGTAATTGCAAAATTACCTTCAAGCAACAGTGCATCAATAAAACTTCAAATCATTAATATCAGTTATAATATTTAATGGGATTCTATCCCTTCTAATAGCATAAGGTTCATTTTTTACGAAAAATATTTTTGGCATTTGACTGCTTGGAGGTGGAGCAATTGAATCTGCTGGTGGCGGGTGGTAGAGGGAAGCAGCGGTAATCAGGAAGTGATTTTAAAAATGGAAGAAGTTGCTAATGGCACAGATATTTCATATTAAAACATTCATTTTAATATGCGCATATTGAGGATACAAGGAGAAGCTGAGCGAGTTCTGGTTCTTCGTTTTGCAGATTATCCTCAGGGGAGACCTTTTAGGGGCTGTCCAGTACCTAAAAGGGGGCTGGAAGAGAATTCTTTATCAGTGAGTATAGTGATAGGACAAGGAGTTACAGGCTTGTGCTAAAATGGTAGATTTAGATTAGATGTTAGAAAGGAATTATTTACTATGCAGGTGGCAAGGCACTAGAAGAGGTTGCTCAGAGAGGCTGTGAACAGATGGAAGTGTTCAAGGCAGGGTTGGATGGGGCTTCAGACAGCCTGATCTGTTGGAAGGTGTCCCTGCCCATGGAGGTTGAAACTAGGTGGTCTCTTCCAGCCAAAACTATTCTATGATTTTATGATTGTGTCTCTGCAGTCTAACAAAAGCAGTAGGATTTTTCTGTGGTCCAGCTTTGACTATTGTTTTTTAAATCTTGTGTGTGAAGGAAGTAACCTTCCAAATAGATATGGGCTATGTCACCATAGGAAACTATTCTGTTTGGTATCTTGTTAAGAGAAAAATCTTAGAACACGTGAAACCATGGCTGCTCTGTAATCTATAGCACTGTGAAAAGGTTAGTGTAAATGGCTTCTGATGTTGATAGACTTTATTCTTTGCTGAACGGCACAGGATTTAAGGGATGTTTACTGTTGTTTTCAGTGCTCTTGCCATGAAGCAACTTTGTTTATCCCTCTCAAATAAAATGATCTGAAACTTGCACTATTAAATAACTATTAAGCCATATCATGGTTGTATGTTAATGGTAAGTGCAGTACAGTTGGAAACAAGAACATGCTTATATTTTTAGTCTTTGCAGAGGTGAAAAAGGAAAGTTGATGGAAAATATTAAAATATTTTTTTTGTGGGCTTATGGAATATGGATTATGGCTGCTCCTGACACTGATTCTTCAAAAATTCTGGAAAAGCAAACACAAGGTGTTTTATTGCAGAATGTTTTGGCAATTACTGAGAAAGACAAAAGTGTACCACAAAAGGGGTAAATTCTAAGGATCTGGACAGCAGAAGATGGTGTGAATAGGATTAAAAGGTGAAATTGCTACTGACTTAGGACAGCTCAGTTAAATATTGAATGTGTTGCATAATAAAAATCACTTAGATGAGCTTATTGTCACCATTATCTGAACTGTACTGATAATTCTGAGAGTTACGGTAACTTCAGAATTATAAACTTTATCATAATCTGGGATTTATTTATATTTTTCTGTGGTAGGTATTGATATCTTATAAACATAACAGAAAATTGTGATTTCTTGATTTTTCTTTCTAGGTATCACCAAAGAGTGTTGTATATTGATATTGATATCCATCATGGTGATGGTGTTGAAGAAGCATTTTATACCACAGATCGTGTCATGACAGTATCATTCCATAAGTATGGTGAATATTTTCCAGGCACAGGGGACCTTAGGGTAAGACTGAGCATGAAATTTCATTGCAATAAATTCCCTCTTATGCACTTCCTTGTGGACACTACTTTAGTACTGTTATTGCAATCATACTCCACAAAAATGTGTGTTTTCTGAAAATTTATCATGTTAGTCTGGAGTAATAGTTGCGTTGAGGAACCTTAGGAAGAAATACAGGATATTGGGAAGCAAATTGCTTACTTCTAGATATGTTAAACCATCTCTTTGGCTTCGGGATAAATTGTCTGAGCAGTGTGCTACACCTGTAATTTCAGTTCTGCACGTACAGAGGAAAGTAACTCTTTGGACATCACAGGGCTTCACATCTTAGTTCAAACAAAATATATTTATGCAGTAGTTTAAGTAGTCGCAGTGTTTCACATGCAACTGTACTGTGCTAGGTTTGCTTAGTAATACAGTTGGTTCATTTGTTATTATTTCATATGTTAATAAGGTACGTTTTGAATTTTAATGCTGCTCACTGCTGAAAAACTTCAGCACGCTCCGCAGATGATTTACTAGCATTACATCTAACTTGAAGAATGGAACAACAGAGTGTGAAGCGTTATTATTTAAGTTGGTGAATCTCTGGCAAAGCTGAGAGTGACAAGCAATTTGCCTGGATCCTAAGATTATTATTATTTTTTTATTTTTTAAGTAAGTTAAGTCATTCCTTTTGTTAAACTCTATCTCATCAGAGCAGGAAGTTGTTCCACTTTGCAACTTGAAATATGATTTCAGATATTAAGATTAATATATTCTTCACTTGATACTTGCATTCAGCCTCTTTATGACAGCACTCCAAGGATAAATCAATTCCTTGTTAACAGCTTTGTTACTTTAGTTTCTAAGTGCAGTTGTTAATTAGAAAACTAATAAAAACTACTAAGAAGCAGATCTATGAAAATGTTGTGTTCAGAAGGTATTAACTTCGTTGTTTTTACACTGATTCAATTGATACAGGTACTTGTGTTTACAGTAATGCTTCTAGAATGTGTATTGCAGTGTGATGTGCTGATACCCAGTGGACAAAGCTGTAAATCAAAGCTGAGCATTAAGTCAGTGGGGTGCTAAGTGTGTTCATTTCAATTGTTTTTTGGAGGTGACTGTTGTTATTGTTCTTAAATTTTGTTAAACTGCTTTCTGAGTTGATTTAGGAAATCAGATTTGGTGTCGTTTTTTATGCATGTGATTTAACTCGACTGGCCACAAGGTGGCGGTGGTGCATTAAACAAGAAAATAGTGCAGATTGGGATGTTTATAAGATAGCTTTTGTTGCTGAAATTGGCTAGGTTTTCTTTTCTTTTTTGGAGGATTAGATATCTTTGTCTTAGAAGCAGCACTTCCTGTTGACAGAGGAGTTTGTGGATTCTTCACCTCACCACACCCAGGACAAGGAATTAAAAGATACATGTTTGAAGTAAATAATATTGTATGTTATTGGGATTTTTTCAGCACAATGTCAGTGATGAATAGTACCTTAGGCATTATAACTTGTCCTATGTTGCTAGATAGTATTTTTGAAATGATCATGGTCTGCATACCAGCAGACTTAAGCAGGCTTCATTACAGCTAACTGCGTATGTCACCTTCCTGACAAGGAGAAAAATGCAGCAACTTTTTCTTATCTCTAGAGTTTGCAAAGTTAACTGAGCTAAATAATTAATTTGTTCCGGAAACCATTATTCTATTGCTTGTTTCTGCTCAACTTGATTTTCTTTTGGCTATTTACGTCAACCAAATCTTAATCTTGTGGTCAGTGGACTCTGCTCAGGCTTGTTTTAGTAATTTCTGCTTGGTCTAGTTTGCTGATCAATTTATAGTTATTTGGTGTAGAGACAAATCATGCAAGAATTCAGAATTCTCCGATTGTAGAACCACCGATGTATCTCATTTACAGACAGGTTGCATTCCTCTATTCTAGTTCAGCTATATTCACTTTTTTTTTTTTTTTTAAATTAAAGAGAAATACATAGATATTTAACTGTCTGTGTTTTAGAATAAGATGGACTTGATTTCTTTTATATCTGAAAAGCAAGGATCACTTCAGAAAAATTGGCTTCTGAAAAACTAGATGTAATTTTGGATTACTGACATGCTACAAATCAGAGATGTGTTTAGCAGGGGTTTTCAGTGTTGCTTGCGATGCTGTGAACTCTTATAATCTGCTAGAAGAGGATGTGCTACGCTGGGCCATTGAATAACAATAAAAGGTGGCTACTGAAAAGGGTACGTTGCAGTTCCGTATGCTGTGAAAAATGCATTTTTCAGGAAAGGAAAAATATCCATGACTAATTCAACAGCTTCAGTTGATAAGTTTAGTGTTGCTGGGTCATCCTGCTAGGGACTTGGATCTTTTCAAGGGTGTAGGGCCTCTTAGTGCATATTGTTATTTCATGAGTTTACAGCCAAACTGATTATGTTGTATCTTATTGTCTTCCCCACTGCACCTTGATTAGTGGCAGAGAGCTGCAGTTTGCAAACTGGATCAGTTTCTGTCTTGTTTGGTGCTGAGCTAAAGGGAGAAAATAGGAATGTGTGGCATGTGAGTATCTTTAGGTATTAAGCTGATAATCAATGGATCCAGAGTTGATTCAGTCAACATTTATTTATTATTATTTGTATACCAAGACTTCTAATACATGTGTTGTCCAGGAATGCCATTTAGATAGGCTTGTGTAGTTCCTGAATTGTCAACTGATGAAAATGAGAATAATCTGCCTGAGTTTTGGTTGGTTTTTATTTTGTTTTTCTTAGATTGGAAAGTATTTCTTGAAGGCATCCTGTAACTGGCTTCAACTTCTTTCTCCTTTCTATTCAACAAGTGCACTATCCTATGTTTGGACCAGAGAATACAGTTTTAAACACTCTCTCAAATAAAAATCTTATGTATTGTGCATCTTACCTTGCTCTCAGTTCTCTTTGCTTTTTGCTCAGCAGTTTTTGCTGGGCTAAATTGATTAGTTTTATGTCATCTTTTAATCTTACGTTTTTCAATTAAAAAAATCAAATGTACTTCCTGCAAGTGTTGTGTTGGCATACAATTACAGTTCAAAGTGAAAAATCAGAATCAAATACAGTATTTTGCCTGTTTTTCCCCTCATGGCATCAACGGTGATTCAAAATAGCTCATTGTAGTCGTATAAAATTTTTTTTCCATGATACTATTGTGTGTTATTAGAAGTATAAGAACGTTTTCCATCTTTACTTATAGGACATTGGTGCTGGGAAAGGCAAATACTATGCTGTCAACTTTCCAATGAGGGATGGTATAGATGATGAATCATATGGACAGATATTCAAACCAGTGAGTGTTTTTCTGAACTCTTTGGTATTATGGTTTTTTTTTCATTTTGTGACTTTGTTTTTGTAATGTGAATTAACAACTGGATGTTTTATATTGATTATAGATTATATCAAAAGTAATGGAGATGTACCAGCCCAGTGCTGTAGTATTACAGTGTGGAGCAGATTCATTGTCTGGTGATAGGTTGGGATGCTTTAATCTTACTGTTAAAGGTAAGTGGAAAAGTGTTTGTTTGCTCTCTGTAACTTTTTACTCAAGAGAAACTTCTACCTGTTGTGTGATTTTTCCAACAAAATTGCAAGATGAGGATTGGAGTTGGAGAGATTTTGTTCATTACCATGATTAATCACCTCTTTCTTTATTATACAGAAATGACCAAAGGAAACCCAGAAGTTGTCTCTTTCTATCCACCTAAAAAAGTTAAGAACTCCGGTTTTCCATGTTCCTCCTAGCCACTCAACTGATTCCCTTTCTTCTATGTACAGGCTTTTCTGTAGCTTTAAAGCAATGTCCTGGATTGATAGGATGACCACAGTAGTCCTACAGCAACACTTACTGTGATGGGCAGCTAACAAAACTAGCGGGTCTCTTAGTAGGACTCCTAAACATCAAACATCTTGTTGGGCATAAAATAGGTATTACTGAAATTAGAATACTGATTGCATTGTTATGTTTATGCTGTTGTTTTTTATGATGAGCTTTGTGGTAGCATTTGCTTTTAATAAGCTTCGTAGAATTCAGCGGTTTTTACTATTAGATTTCTACTCAAAAGGATGATTCTTAGAATTGAGATGAGAGGTTAATTTAGCAAACAACATAGCTTAAATGGTTAATACTAATATTTATAAAATGTTAAATGTATGTTGAACTGTTGATAAACCTTGAATCCAGTCTATTTGAATCACTGATTTTTTTCTGGGGTTTATTTTTGTGTTTTCTTAATGAGGCAATGAGTGTTTTGTAGGCAACAGTATAGTATCTGTTGGGTCTGCAGTGTTTCAGGGTTCTTTTTTTGATTTGCACCAGGTGGCAAAGCTCCTTCAGTTGCCCATACAGATCAGATTTTTTTTCATCTTACATATCTTGGAAACCAAGAGAGCTGCTGCCTCCTACAGATGCCTTTCAGTATCTACTTGCTGTATCTACCTGGACTGTGTACTGTCTTGGCACCAGTTCACTCTGTAAGCAAGACTTAGCAACCTTTCATACAGGTTCAAATTTAGAAGTAGAGAGGACCAAGTACTGATTTACTTTTTTTTCCTTCTTCCCACTTTGTGTTTAACTGAGAAATTATCCCTAGATTTGTCTCTGTCTTTTCATAGCAAATATCAATGCAAAACACAAAATACTCGTTCTAAGAGCATTTCAGTACTGCAGTGATAAGAGACCGTCATGCAAAGTCTCTGAAAACTGGGATGGATAATATTTGGTGTGTTTTACACGCTTCTTACCTGTAAATCTTGACTTGTTGTGAAACTGTGTTTAGTTGTAGAGGGTGGCAGTTCTGTTTTACTTGAACCAATTCAACTCTTATCAAATAAGTATTGCTTATAATGAGCTCTAAGTGTATAAGAATATATGCAAATCACATTTTTCTCTTTAATAGGCGTTTTGTATATATTGTCAAATATTTTTGTTTGTGACAGGTCATGCAAAATGTGTGGAAGTTGTAAAGACTTTCAACTTGCCATTGCTGATGTTAGGAGGAGGTGGATATACTATTCGCAACGTTGCTCGATGCTGGACATATGAAACTGCTGTTGCCTTAGATTGTGAAATTCCTAATGGTAAATATTAATCCACAAATTCATACCTTGTCAAGAAATAATCATGGGAATGTCAAAGTGAAAGGATAGTAATGGTAATATTTACCAAGCGCAGTGTGTCAGTTTAGAATGAGATAGAGAAAGCTATCGTTAAGGCTTAGATGGTAACTTTTCAATAGCTTATATACAAAACAAACTTTAGAGGCTTAGGGCTTACTTATGCTTTAATCAAAGCTTTAAATTACCAGATTGCTTTTTTAGTATATATTTTATTGTATGTTTGACAGTGTTTTGATTATGACAGCACAAACCTGTGTAAGGTGGGTATTCCAGATACAGTGTTCATGAGAAAAGGTTGAGTATACAAGTGCCCGTTTTGCACAGTAAAACTTAACTATTTCTTCATTATATCTTTGAGCTAAAAATGTCTGTATTGACATCATCTCTTCCATTTGTCTCAATTTCCGCTATGCAAACTCTTTAAAATTCTAAAGCAAAAAGAGCAATAGTTAGCTTCTTTTAAATACTTGAATAGTGGAGTCATTTACCAGAGGAATATCTCCATATATCCCACATTCCCTGTAATTCTGGCCAAGTATATTTCTGGACATATTTTTTGAAAACTTTTCTATGAAGTTGGTGCTTGAACTGTCTTGTTGCATCAGCCATTGGCTTTCATGTTGGACTGCGGTTTTACTGATAACATTTTGATATACATAGGTCACTCCAAAAGTAATCTCTCTTACTGCTGTGGAAACTACAGTGGATACAAAAAGAACAATAATACTATTTGATACAGCAAACTCTTAGCTACAAAACACTATTTTTCAACACAGTCACTATGAGCTTTGCATTTTTACCAGTGATGAGTAAGAGCCTGAATACCACACTTAAATGTGAGCATCAGCAGAGGTGACCCACTGTCTGTGTCACTGCTGCTGAAACACACTACCCACCACCTACCTCACTTTGCTCACATCTGTTGTTTGGTCTCCATAAATGCTCAGCAAGCATCAGTGAGTGTCAGCTATTTTTTCTGCATGGAGAAATTCACTTCCACACCTTTGTTTCATCTGCACTTCCATGTCAGATGCCATTCTGTCAGACTGCCCCTCTGCTGCTATCTGTCACATGGCAACAAAATATAACAGAGTGTTGGTGGGAAGGTTCAACCTCTACTATGCTACCATTAGCATCTGCCTCTGATGTCATGGATCAACATCATAAAACAGGAAATATTACTTTTGGGGCAGCCTTTGTACCCATCATGTGTTTTACTAGAGGAATATTCTGACTGGCACACATACGGTAACTTGGAAGTAGCTATAAATAATCATCAGTGAATCATGCCTCATCTCCAGAATTAGCATTTTTAATGATTATGTTTGTTTCTTACGCATTGTGTCAGCATGTGTTCTAACGTGATTAAAGTAGAACTTTATTCTTTTTGTATTGTGTTGTGCAAAGAAAAAATGTTTAACGTGTTGAGTAATTTAGAGAAAAACACTGAAAGATTTGTACTTTTTGTATTTTGTGTACATTTTGTATTTAAAATGATTGAAATCACCATTGGGTGACAATTGTCTTTTCTGTTCTGTTTTATAGAATTACCATACAATGATTACTTTGAGTATTTTGGACCAGACTTCAAGCTCCATATTAGTCCATCAAATATGACTAATCAGAATACACCAGAATATATGGAAAAGATCAAGTAAGTAGTGCTTACCTTATTTGCCAAGTACGTGTGTGAGTTGTTTCTCCAGAGGTTTAATTTTTACACAAGTTTCCCTATTACACACTGAAAAAGTACTAAATAGAAATGACGTATTTTCTCTTTATCAGAAGATGAACTTTTGATTAAGAAGTCTGTGCCTACAATGGTTTCTACGCTTATGAAGTCCTGTCTACTTAAATATGAAAGCTTAAGACTCAATTTAGATTTTTTTCACTTCTTCCAGCAATTAAAGAGAGAACTGTTTTATTTGGCTTGCTATTTTGATTTTGAAAGAAGTTTATCCTTTCAGGAAAGAAGCTGTGGTGTGCACTGATTATTAGGTTTCCAAATTCTCAACTCCCTTGTCTAAACACGAATTGATTGTCATTCTTTGTAGCTGTCAGCCTTAAAAAATAAAAATAAATCACGTGGGTAGACATCAAAAACTGTGGAAAGATAGCAACATGCCTGCAAGCAATTGAGACTGTAGTTTGACAAGTCCACAAGAGTTGTGAGGTACTGTTGAAAAGCTATAGAGATAGTGTTCTTAGGCTTTGCTGCTTCTTAGTTCAGTTTTTGCCTACCCACAGCATGAGGGTTTGTTTGCAAACTAATGTTGTGCTTCAGAAATGGAATAATACTTAAGAATAATCAAATCTGTACTCATCTAATAAGAGATAATTGATTAACCTGAAGTACTCATTGTTTACAATGGTTTGTTCCTAATTTGGATTTAGAAGAAGGTCATGTGATAGAAAAAGAGACTGTAAGGATCTCATACAACCTCAGTTGCCATTCACACTTTGAATTGTTCAGAGGGATACTGAGACAGTTGTCACAAATGCTGATGCTTGTAACCTGCCAACACTTCTCTCCACTCAAACTTCTTTGGATCAGTAATTTTGAGTCTCAGGTATTTGTCCTTGTTCCTGCATGTGGCCCTATGGAGTGCGGGATCTGTCGCATCAGTTGGCTTGGACAAGAATGTCTGTCTGTTCTCTCTTAAATAGTTAGTAAGCAATTTCATCCAAACGGGTCGCTTCTGATCACGATCTCGTTGCTGCACGCAGCATGGAAGTAGTCATGCTTTAAGTGTCTTTTTTGTCACGCTTTTTTCAGAGACTAGTTTATTATCCAGCCTGATACTCTTGTCTATTAAATAGAGTAATGCTGTCACCATGGTCACCAAATGGGAAGGACACCTACTGACCTAGTGGAGAACTGAAGATTGAAGTTCGTTGACGATATATGCTTAAAATTTAAAAGAATGTGATAGCAAAATAGGCTGTGAATACTGGTGATCTGCTAGGGATGGAAAGCTTTCTGAAAACTTTCTTAAAGATAAGCAGGTTAACTTTGGGTGCAGAATTTGCAGAATTAAATACAAAATCCAAGGAAATGCTACTTCTGCAGAGTAGTAACTTTATATTACTTACAGGCAACGCTTATTTGAAAACTTGCGCATGTTACCTCATGCACCTGGTGTACAGATGCAGGCCATTCCTGAAGATGCTGTTCATGAAGATAGTGGAGATGAGGATGGAGAAGATCCAGACAAACGCATTTCAAGTAAGAAACACTATAAAGTCCAAGTAGAGTCATCCTAGTTTCAACTATTCAGAACCTCAGTCTTAGAAGTGTGATACTGGATGATTGGCAATTGGAGAAGTCATTTTCCAAGTTAAAAACTTTTGCCATAGTTCTACCAGTCCTGTGGTTATTAAAATGGCATCTGTGCCCAAATATTAATCTGTAAAGGAGTTTTCAAGAAGTGCTCAAGAGTACTTGAGTCTTATGGAGCGAGTTGTTGCAGTTTATTTTAATATACTCCAGAAGCATTAGATGAAGGACTTAGCTTCTGACTTGCTATTCACAAAAACAGTAATGAAATAAGTGTTTCTGAAAGTAAATTGTCTCTCTGATTCATAGTATATTTTTACTAGTTCTTAATTTAGTAGTTCTTCTTATGTCTATATAGTCAGTCTGTATTCTGACCTTTTTGTTTAATTTCATAACTGTCCATCTCAGTTCGAGCATCTGATAAGCGCATTGCCTGTGATGAAGAGTTTTCGGACTCTGAAGATGAAGGGGAAGGCGGACGGCGAAATGTTGCAGATCACAAGAAAGGAGCAAAGAAAGCTAGGATAGAGGAAGACAAAAAAGAGACAGAGGACAAAAAAGCAGGTAGGATTCTATGGTTATTTTATCCTACCTTTTAGAACAACAGGCATCTGTCCTGCTGGAAGAAGGATACATTCTGTGTTAAGAGCTATTTTACTATTGAAACAGTGGTTGTTTTTTTTATCATATCTTAAAAATCTATTTTACAGTTTAATCAGTTTCACCATTGATTTTTAAGATGCAGCTATTCATCCTGAAATAGTATTTCCATGCAAACTGGAAGGATAGGATCAGTGCTGTTTCTTCCCAGACCTGAAGCTTTTAAAGCCAGGGGTTTATTAGGGTTAAAAAAAAAAATTATCTTTAACTATGTTACGCAAATAGTTTGTTCCTTTTTGCTTTGATAGAGTGAGGCTGCTAGTTTTCTTCTGAAACTGAAGCTTGATAGGTTTCTAGGAATAGTATACTTCAAAGAACTTTTGGACTTTTCCAGTAAAAGTCTGTATCATAAGAGTATGAGACTGAACCCCATAAAGCTTTGGGGAAAATGCAGGTGTTGACTGTTTCAGCCAGTCAAGAGAAACTATGCCTGACTTAATTTGAATCACTTGGCACCATGCCCAGGTAACTCCCCAGGATGGATGCATTTAATACTATATGTCAATAAGCAAGGTTACTTTTTTCTTTCCCTAAAGTTGTTTCTCTTAGCTTCAATTGTATCTATGAAGTATAGCTGTCTCCGATTTTTTTATTTTTTTATTTTTTCCTTCTAAAGTACACTTGCATCTCTTCATATATTTAAACCAAGTAATTTTTATTTTTAGATGTTAAGGAGGAGGATAAATCTAAGGACAACAGTGGTGAAAAGGCAGACACCAAAGGGTAAGCAATTAATTAATGTCGCCTTACTGAAGAGCATTTGGTAACTTAAAAGTATTCTTAAGTATTGATTTCTGTACATATCCCTCATAATACTAAACATTTACGAATTAGAACAATACTAAGTCAACACTGCATTTCTGAAATGGTTAATCTAAAAAAAAAAATCATGCATCTTAACAGCTTATTTTTGTTTTTGTACAGAGCAAAATCAGAACAGCTCAGCAATCCTTGAACAAAAGATAGCCTCACATCAATTGCAGAACATAATGCTAGAGTTGGGGAATACCTAAAGGAAGAAGTTTTCATATTGAGAAAGACTGCTGATTTCATTTTTGTACTATTTGGCATGGACTGTATTTATTTTCAAACGGCTTTGTTCTGGTTTTTGGCAAGTTGTATTGTGAGTTTTCTAATTATGAGGCAGAAATTCCTTTCTTCACCATGCTTTATGTAATAGTATTTAAAATGGATGTGAGTTATGTTAAATGTCTAAACTGATCTATTAAAGTAATTTGCCTTTCCTGAGCTGATTTTACCTTTTTTGTAATTTTATCTTTATTAAAAAAAAAAAAAAAGTACTTGGTTGTCTTCTGTCCATCATTGAACTAAAAAGGCAAAGCTCCGTGTAAGTTGAACAGACTTACATTTATCTGTGAGTAGCTGATAGATTTAGATAGACAGCTGGTGAATATTCAAGTTGAACTGTGCTGCTTCATGTACTTCAATGGCTGCTGCCAAGAGTGATGACAAATATAATGAATACATGAGATTTGAACAAGTTGAATAAATGGGGGAAGAGGTATTTGAGTGGTATGGCTATACAAACTTGCATTTTGGTACAGAATTTTAAAACTCAACAGCAAAATGCCTTGTGTCCAAGAATCTTTCCCACCATCAGTATCTACTCCCCAAACTGGTTCAATTGCTGTAAATTAAATTTCTATAAGGTCATCTTTCAAAATATACAAAATAAGAAGTAAAGGTTTGGCTGTAAATAATAATCTGTCCTGATTTATTTTTTTTTTAATAGCTGTAAGCATTGTAAAATGTTGTCCCTGTTTTAAAAACAAAAATGTTTACTTTTTTCTTTGTTGATTGCTTAGTTCATTCTGTTGTCTGAACTGAAACACAGAAATCTGAGCATACTTGTTCCTTTTTTTTTCCTCCTCTCAATCTTTGTTTTCAGGCTTACAGAGCATTGAATGCTGAAGTTTTCAGGATTGCTGTTAATTTCAAGTAGTTTGTGAATTAACTGCTGATCCTGTTGGTAATTGAAGTTAACTATGTGTTAATTAGTGGACTGAAATACAATGTTTAAGGAGAGAAGATACTTTTTATTTGTACCAAAGAGGTAAAATGCTGTTTCTTTGTTTTCTTTGAGGAAAAACACAAGGGCCAAGACTGTGGCTGTGGGTATGTTTGTGAGCATCTGTGGTCTCCTTTGTGCATCTAATGCCTGCTAGCTCTCTAGGGCAAAGGATAAAAGTTAGATTTGAGGGACTATAGGAAGGTCATGAGTTTGTACCAAAGAGGTGAGAAGTGATAAATGATGCCATAAGCATGCCTCTAAGTGCCCTCTGATATTTGCAAGGAGTTCAGCACTCTAAATTCTGTTAGAGAAGTTTTCACAGGGCTGAAAGTGACAAATATATTTGTATTATATATATATATATATATATATATATGTCTTAAGGTGGTGGTTTTGTTTATTTTTTTTAAGTTGATATAAACTTTTTTTTGTATCTGTTAGAGAGAGGGTGTTAGTCCAAGTGACCTGTAGTCTCTGCCATTGTTACAAGTATAACAAAAAACTATTTCTCAGATAATGGTGTTGAAAAGGCCAAATTTCTAACTTTGGATCACTTCAACACAAAACAATGAAATCTAATGATGTTATGAATGAAACCCAAGAATACTTGTGATTGCAACCCCCAAGTAACTCAAAATTTTTTTTTAAAGAAAAAAATTTGTCTCATCCTGCATTGCTTATGAGAAATTACAGTGCTAATAGGAATGCTAGATGCTACTGTATCCTTCTGAGTCCTGATAAATATCTCTTCCTGTTAAAGGCAGGTGTAATACTAAAATATATACCTTTGTCTTTATGAAGCCTCTCTACTTAAAAAACATACCTTGAATTAACTGTGTGAATTCTCCAAACATAAGCATTTTAATTAATTTGTTTTTCCCTTCTGGAAAGAAGCTGTTGGTAACCCTTCTATAAATTGTGCAGATCTGCTCTGCAAAATGAATGTCTCTTGTGCCATAATGTAACATAACCAGTTATGTTATGCTCAGTATTTAAGTCTAGAGGAGAAAACTTTTGCTTTTTTCCTTTGTCCTTAAAGGACTGACATATAATTCGAGTGTAACTTGCTTTTAGCTTTACACATTCAATAAATCATTTTTGCTTATTCCAGATGGTGACATTCACCATGCAATTTCTAAAACTCTGGAAGAATAAGAATAGATCTGTTTTGATATTCATGCTGGTTATCAGTTCTGAAGGTTTTTTATTACTTTTTTTTCCTAGTATATATTGTATTACTGCTCTCTTCATTTTACAAAGGATCTTGTGAAGCATTTGATATTGTTTTTACTTCATAAGGAGTCATCTTAGCAAGAGTTCAGAATACTTGAGAGAATTTCCAGAACTCAGGCATCTTGGTCTTTTTTTATTTTAACATAAGCAACTACTTTCTAGTTGAGTGAAAATAGGAACTATTCAAATTGTTCTTTGAAATGCTTGTAGGTCTGTGTACAGACTAAAAAGAGATTGCTGTTGGATGAGGAAATAAGCAATACAGCAATATAAATGTGAATGATATCAATAGGACTGAACTGCATTATTTCCACTTATTGTTGTTTTGTGGGACTTTCAAATGAAAACATTGCCTTTCTCACAATTTTGCTTTTATATATTTGGAAGCCCCACTGAAAATACATTTTATGTATTTGCATCTTTCCATCCTTTAAGTAATATTCTGAGAACTAATTTGTGCATGGGCTTAAAACAAATCTGAATGAGAATTCAGAGTTTTTGTTGCTCTGAGCATAGAACTGACAACTGTTTGCATGCATGCTAGTATTCTGAGGCAACTCCTTTTTAGCCAAATTTCCAGTGGGATTTAAATCTGTAAAAGGAACTGCATTATATGTAGACACGTGTATGAACAAATATAATCAGATACTACTCAGAACACAACAACAAAAACAGTACTTTTTAATAGTTACTGCTTTTTTTAATTCTCGTAATTTGTAGTAGTTACCTGTTGTAGTATTCTCTCATCTCTGTGACAGTATGTGACTGGCACAGATAATTATATCATTTTATTTAATAGTGGTTATAGCCAGCAGCTCAATTTAGTGTTTAATACGTTTCAGTCTACCTCAGAGAAGACAGTATCTTTTTGAAATGGTATTTATTTGTAGATGGATGACTTGGCAAAAATAGATGTCAAAGCTGGATAACAGTAGGCAGAATTAAAGAGCAACTTCCTAGGTTAGGAACTTGGCTTAGTGTTTTCCATGACTGCTGCCAGAAGAAAAAGGGAGGAAAACAACAACAACAAAAAAAAGGCTGCGAGTAAACTTTAAGTAATTCCATGCAGCAGTTGCCAAACAGGCTCCACATGGATAATGCATGCATTGAATGATTCTCTGTTCTTACAGTCTATTTTTAAAACTTTCTTTGTGATGCTGCTTTTAACACTATTTGTTTCAATAAAGTGCTCTAGAGATTTAGCTGGTAGAAGCAAAAATTCTGTATCACTGCAGATTATATCAAGTTAAGCCCAGCACAAAATTGAGTCAATATTGTGAAAGTCTCTTCTGTCTTTCTTGAGAGAGGTGGGTGGGGGTTCTTTTGGGTTGGTTTTGTTTGTTTCTTTTTTCAGGCTAGCAAGCAATTGAAAACCAAGGAAGTGAAGATCAGAGTGAGGAGTTATGAGTCAGAATGCCACACTGTTGTGTGGCTGACTACCACCCTGTTTGATCCAGAAGGTTTTTAAATACAATTGCAGCATTCTTTTAAAGTTTCTATTTAGTACTTTTCTGTGGAGACCAAAATTATAAGGAAAATTTCTGACGACTCAAACTGGAAGAAAGAGACTTTGCTATGACTTTGTAAATGGAATTTTTTTTGTGTTAAATCTTCAGCTTTTTCATGATGTGGGTGAATGGGACATACTTCCCTAATTGCATCACTGCTGGGTTTTTTGATTATTTCCCTTTCATTGTATTTTTTGGCAATGTTTTTTCATTCCATAGTGAGCGGTAACAATCTTTGGAACTAGACAGTGAATCCTTGAATGGACAGTGCTGCTGTAACTATACAGCAGATGTCTGATAAAATGCCTCAACATCAAGAATCTAGATGCTCTCCTTTTAAAAAAAAAAAAAAAAAAGTAACAAGAATAAATAATGAAGTGTGGTGTGGCTAGAATTGCTCTGAAGAATTTTATATGCTTCTTCCACCTATGGGTGAGGCCTGGCTTGCATGTAGGGAACAGTTCTAAGACTTCTGTAAGCGCTTAGACTGATTACTGTTTGGAAGCTCCCTTCATTCCTTACGTACAGGAACATCCCATGTTTAAACCTCTCTCTACTAGAGCAAAAGGAAGAGCAAATGTAACTGTGGAGTAAGCTTGGATGGGAAAAACGTTCAGTTGATGATTACTGTAAAGTTTGAAAGGCATTTTCTGTTGTTTCCCTTACCAGATGTTTCCTATTCCCAGATGAATGATGTCACAAGTCTTAAAATGATGGGTTAAATTTCAGTGAACTAATTTGAGTGGCTAATCAGAAAGACCCCTTTGGAATTTGATGTTCAGAGGCAGATAAACTGCAGTTCTGAAGATCAGCATCTCCAGAGGAAAAGTGCTTGGACTCTGGAGATCATGAGCATCTTCTGGTTTTAAAAACAAGGAACTGAAATTTTGGAACATGAGTTCAACCCTTATGTGACAGCAGATGTGATTTATTGTATTCAATGCCTCTTTTGAGGTCTTTGTGCTGTAGGAAGACATAGAGAAAATTATTTACATGCTTGTACTTTTAATATTTAAAATATTTCTAATACTTTTACAAACCCACTTTAGCATGAGTGTTATGGCTTTTGTTGTCTCCTGTCTGAGAGCGCAGTAACATGGGCATGTCTCTTATATTACCAGGGCAGGCTACCAAAGAGCAGCAGAGCGTGTTACAGTGGCTAATTTGGCTTTATTATCCCAAGTGATACCAACCTGAACAAAGAGTTAGGGGAGCTCCTGCAGGGAGAAGTGCTGAGATAGACCACACCTAAGGTGTGTCTCTTGTAATGAATTACATTGAAATGACCTTGCTTACCTTCCAGTGATAGTCTGGCCAAGATGGAGATAAAAAATAAATAAATAAAAATTAAAAAAAACCCTAGATCTTAGGTAGGCTGAGGTTATTCATAATTAAAACAATGTTGTTTTCAGATGCTGGCTGAAAGCATCCAACAGCCAGGAGCTGAACTCAAGCTTTGGGATTGAAACTAAGGTACGTGGGGGATTAGAGTTGAATACAACAGAAACTTATTTTCTGCTATTTGTGTTAGAGGGTGCATTGGACTCTCACTGTGGATCATGCTACTCCAGAACCACCTCCTTCCAACAGTACTCATCTGTGTTTGTTTAAAAACAAACAGGTCCTGCCTTTTGCAATCTCCAGTGAGGTGATATGGGAACTACTAGGAGTACTGAATGCTGCGAGAAGGGGCTTTAGGCATGGTGTTTACAGAGCTTCACATGCTGCACTGTTTGTTGGGATGTGCCTCTCTGTTCCCTTTCTTACAGTTTCTACGGTTTCCTGGAACAGTTGGCTTAGTTCTGCTTGCCTTCCTTGCTGGCTGTGGGGCAAAATCAGCCTCACCAGCTTGTAGTTGACTATGTGAAAGGGGCCTCATTACTGCTTAGTGTGCAGTGGAAGCCAGCAAAGGGGGATCTGAGCTCCGCCTCTTTCCCTCTCCCTGGGCTGGGAGTTACATGGAGTTTTACTCCGTCATGGACACTGACTCCAGGACAAACAGAAGAGTCCTGACCTCACCCAACTGTTTTCTCATGCAATGCAATACTGTAAACATGGACTGCCTGTACGTGATGATTCTCGGTAAACTAAACATAGCTAATACAAAAGATGTGCAAGGCCTTCTGGAATCTGTTCAGCAAAGCAGCAGAGAGCTGAAAATCTCATTAGCAAATGCTTAACTTACATGCTCCTGATTTTGAAAAGAAGCTCAGAAAATACCCATGGAACTCATGCAACCTTTTCCCCTTAATTCCTGTGTGGTCACTAAAGCCATAGTTGTCCTGTTGAAAGAATTGGAGCTGTATTTCCAATATGTGTTCACAGCATATGTTACCCACCCCTAGTTAGCTAACTAACACCAGTTCCAGAGGCTGAGAGCACTGGAAGAGTTTTGTTGCCAATAGCTCAAGTGTTGTTTTCTGCTCTTACCATTTGTTTTTTGTAGCCCTCACACCTCCTCCTTCATGCCAGTAACCCAGTCAAAAGGTGACATAAGCGGCTTAAGTGATCTGGGACTTGGAGTAACTGAGCAGAAAGGTGTTGCAATTTCTTGCCCTCCTAAGCTGGCACTGTGCTGTAATGACAGTAGGTAGGAGGGAGCAGAGACAGATCAGCATAGGTACCAGTGATGAGAGAAAAGGGCTTCGCAGACTGTTTTCCTTCAGTGTTTGAAAAGCTGCTACCAACCACTGTTGTGGTCCTGTTAATGTGCCTATTCCTATTTATTGTTTCACTTCTTTTCCTAGTTTTGTTATGGACAGTTTGTTTGTAAATTCCTTGGTGAGATCTGTAGGGGGTGGGGGCTGTTGTTTTTCTGCCAGAAATATTTGGACATGGCCTTCAAACATTCTATTGTCTCAACCTTCTTGCTTTATGATTTTTTTTTTTTCCTACTCCT